GTGCATCTACTTTTATTTTGTTGTGGTTTTGTTTACCATTAATTTATTATTCCTTCTGTTGTTTAATTAAACTATGAATTTGTAGTTATATTAAAGTGCTAACTCACCTTCTATCTAGAGCATGTTGATTTTGAGTATGCATGTGTTATGAAACTGACACAAGCTTCCCCTAGTGGTGATGTACAGATATTAATAGTGAACTATTATATAGATTTATGTTAATAGTTAGTCACATCAGATGTAACCTCATGGTCTGACCACTAAATAAAAACCCTTTCTTGATTTTGGAAATGAGTTAGTTTATGAGATACAATTAGAATTATTGCTTGATATTGTTATTGAACTTGAGAAGTGATTTAATTTTGGAACATTGTGTTTTTTCTTGTTCTGTTTCTTTTTTCTAATATCTTTGTTTATTGAAATTAATAACATTGAGATTTATGTTGTATTGTTTATTAACGTTTGTACCTAGTCCTGGCCAGATATGAGTTTATTTACTGTTCTTTTTAAGTGATAAAATTTGTAGTTGGGTGAAAGTTTTATTTTGGATTTGTTATATTTGAATAAATTGTTTTTGTTTGATGGTTGTAATGGTGTTTTGTTTTAATCTGTTACATTAGTGCCTGAACACTTAGATTTATAAAGTGGATATTGGCAAATATATGTAAAAATGGAGGGTCGACATAAAACTGCCTTCGTAACTGACAATGGACTTTATCAGTTTCAAGTGATCCTTTTTGGTCTGAAAGATGTACCTGCCACCTTCCAAAGATTTTATGAATATAGCTTTAGCAGGAGCAACCAAATTTTCCAAGGCTTGTGCTGATGATACTAGTTTTTCATTCACATTTGAACAACACCTGAAACACCTTGAGTTGGTTTTCTACAAACTTCATACAGCAACTTACTGTAAAAATTTCTGAAGGCAAGTATCATATTGGAGATCATATTTTGGATCAGAGCATATATGCAGTATGATGGCCATTTACAACTGTCTTTTGTCATTCTATGTGCTACTTCAATAATAAAAATTGCATTGTGTTTGTTTTTAAGCAAAGGAGACTGAATAAAATGCATTGTTGGCAAAAATCTTTGGTTTTTAGTGCAATGGGTGAATACAGCACATTAGAATACTCAGCTGCAAAGTAGCTGCTGAGATTTTTTCTGCTGGATGCCACCATTCCTTGTAATTTTACTGGCACAAGAAAAAACTACTACTGAAGTAGCACTTTTTGACAGTTGTCATTTCTATAAGAAGTGTCAAAGGGGGATATTCAAATCAATTTATTCAACAGGATACAATAAAATCATGTATATATATAAAATGAATCAGAAACAGCACAATATGATTGAAATTCTAGAACATGCTTTTGCTACCATTCCTTTCTGTTGTCCTTAAGTCATATGAACAATTAATGTATTGCATAGTATGGTATTTATTGATTGATATATATGTATAAACAAAACAACAAATATATATACTCACATTCCTCTCTTTATGCATTTTTCCCTTCATGCTTCTATCTTTAAGATATTTCTTCCACTGATTGAGGAAGTCCCATTTTGTTTTTTGTGAAATTCCCTCACGCGAGAAACATTTTTGTTCGTGTTTCTCAGATTGACCATTCAGCACATACAAAATCTGATGGATTGATGTTGATATTGGTATGAAACTTTAGGAATTGCAGAAAATGAATAATTTTCATATAATGTACTGTAGAAAAGAAGCATTTTGATATATAATTTTTTTTCTATGATTAACAATTCAAGAGATGCAGAGCATGACAGACCTGTGGCTGATATATATTGTTTACTAATACTGATGTCATATTTCAAGATAAGATATTATTGTACCATACACTGAAAGACATGATGTTGAGAACAAGAAAGCTACATTGTATTATGAAACTATTATTACATAGACAGTTTTGTTCTAAAAATTATGTATTGATAAATGTGAATTTCATATTTATAGACTGCGTAATTTTAAATTAAGTAATTTGTTACTATTATAAAATAAAGAAGTCAATGTTTTGTTCTAGTGAGAAGTTCCATATTTTACATCGTAATTTGTGTACATAATTAAAAGTTGACATCTCCTGGAATGTAATACACTAGGACACTACATAATGAAACATAAGTTACAAATACAAGTGTTTTTAAAAATATTATGAAAAACTTGTTTGAAAGTGAACTTCAGATTTATAAATATTTCTAGTAACTTACAACTCTTTTTAAAGTAAAGAATCATTACTTTAATATTTGTTAAGCTTTATTTTCACTTTTTTAATTTAAATATTTGCTGGAGGATGCAATATGCTATGATCTAAAAGATTTGTATAGTTAGTAGAAGATGAGTACAATATAAGTGAAGTGAAGCAGTGAATCAATGAATAATGAATGAGCAGTTATTGAGTAATGAGTTAGGGAAGTATTAAGTGAGTAGTTAATGAGTGTTCAACAAGAAATTCATTTTAGTGTTAAAAGTGAGAGTTATTATGTCTATTTGTCCATTCATTCTGTTAAATGAATAGCCATGGAATTCTACATGTAAGTTTATAAGTAAATTAGGCCTTTGTGCCATTAGTCTCAGAATTTCTATTAGAACTTTGTGATCTTAGGCCTACAACTTGAGTCAACATGAGCATAGCCTGTAGTAAACATTATTGAAGATATGAATTAATTTGTTATCATTAAATATACTGGGCTGAGCATTATTTTTACCAGATACTCCAAAAGAACTTGGTTAATGATAGAACACTTTACAACAATGTTATATATTTCATTTATGTATCAGATATTATTTTTATCATTAGTGTATGTACATTATTAAACTGTAAATTATTTACAATAAAATTATTATATGTTAAGGATAGGAGTATTAAAAAGAAAAAAAGTGTTTCTAACTGTCACGTCGTGAATGAAAGTAATCACTGTGTTTTCTCAAGATATGTTGGTCTCATGACATGACAAGTTAAAAAAACAAAAATACTTAAACCCAGGCATTACAGAGGCAAGGCATTTGATCTAGATGAGTTAAATGGGTGTACATGAAGTTATGAGGAAAATACACCAATAAGATCACATTTCAAACCAACTGTGTGAAAAGTAAAGTTTTAAGCACACAATCTGACCCCAGATATTTAATAATATCCACAGGGACAGACATATTGTTGAGATATTATCTTGAAACACAATAGTGTTTTACACCTTAATGATAATACTCATGTCATATAAATGTTATTGCAGCCAGGCCTTTTCAGAGGTTCAAAGAGGCCTGGGCCACTTCTATTTTTTGGCTATGATAAAAACAAACAAAAATTGATACATGAAAGCAAAATAAGTTAGTCATTAGCCCAAAAGAAAAGTGAAACATAATTAGAATTAAATTGGGAGGTGCATAAAAACAAGTTGCAAAACTTAACAAATACAAAAAAAAAGTCAAATTTGAGGCCTGGGCGAAATAGCCCTAATTGCAGTGTATCAAGCCAACACTAATCAACCACAATTGTACAAAGCAAGACTACAAGTCCATTAGCAGGCAGATTTTGGAGGGCAGGATATGAGTTCGTAGTTTCTTTTTTCTTTTCTTTTTGAGGACTGTTTATGTTTGGGTACTTACATGTTTGTGCGTGTGTGTGTGTGTAATGAAAGAGGAATGTTATTCAATGCAATATTTGCTTTAGTGATGTATGAATACCTTTTAGTGTTTTTAGGAAGGTGTAGGAGGTGAAAATATAAACAGCATTTTAAATAGTTTGTGACTGAATTATGAAGGCTATTTCTTCCTGTTAATGTTGGGATGTTGCTGATTATTTATGAGAAATCCTATAGAAATAAAAACCTTTAAGATCACTATCAGTTTCAATCCTAAGCTGAAAATATTAAATACACTGGTTTGCTTTATGTATTATGTACATTATGTTAGTTTGATCTTTCTCTTTCTTAGCCATCTACAATATAAACAACTATAACTAATCTCACTTAGATTTACTTATTGTTGCAATAAATAAAACAACAAACTTCTTTAAATTGAGATTGACTCATTCTTATTAGTTCATGCTTGTTATGGTTTTCATCAGTATGAAAAATGTTCTATCCATTTTTCAAAGCCTTTAAATTCACACCATATTTAGGTTATAATAAATCTATTTCAGGTAGAAACAAAGTGTTTTTGTGAGACAAACCATAGAAGATTAATTAATTTTAGAACAAAATAATTATGCTTAAATTATTATTGTGACTGAAAGAGCTGTGTATATTTGATACTTGAGGTAAACCACTTTCATAGATTTTATTCTAATTAACCTGTTGAAGAAATTCTTCATGGTGGTTTTTCATGTTAGTCTTAATAACCATAGCCTCTTTGAACCTTAATGTTTTTTCATCACTTGCTTTCAATATAATTTCATGGTCACATTCTACAGCATGTTGGGAAACAAGTAACTAAATAATAATACTTTTCCAACTCAGACACTTGATAGGTGTTTGCTAACTATTACCCTCCCTTATCATGGTAGTAAATCCATGTTATTAAGGTCTATCCTCAAATACACCTTGGATGCTCTATAGAACTTCTTTAAACTAAGAAACTTCTTCCCATTCAAAAACAAATTAATAAAAAACAGCAATCTCCTGTCATCTTCAAATATAAATATACTCCTTGCTTGAGAGGTTACAGTGTATCCATTACCATGAAAGGGTTGTAGAATATCACACTATTTTCATCTATAACTCATGTTTTACAGCATGCTATGAAATGTGACTGCAAAATTAGATTTAAAAAATTTTGATATTCTTTTCAAAGCAAAAAAAATGAAAGAACATAAAGGTTTGAAGAGACATTGGCTATTAAGACATTTGAGCCTGAAATAACACATTAAATAATTCAAAACAAAACAAAAAAACTAGTAGCAATATGTGATATAAACCATATTTTTAAGCTATGAAGTTGAGAAAGTGTGAATAATAGTTTTATAATAAATATTTTGTTCTTTTAGACATTTGACCACCATTGCCCATGGGTGAACAATTGCATAGGACGACGCAATTATCGCTATTTCTTCATGTTCCTTGTTTTCCTCAGTTTCCACATCATTTCCATTTTCACTTTGTCAGCTGTTTTCATCCTGGATCATAATGACTCACTAAAATCCACACCTTCCATTGTTACGTATCCTTTCTAGAAAAGTGACAGGTTTAAACAACTTTCTGTATGTATGGGAGTGACATATAAATAGGACAGGGATGGTATTCAACTGCTGTTAGTCTGTAACAATACTAATTATATGTAGTTAAGAAGTCCAGTGACAAGTGAATATTCAGAAAAGGAGAGGTATAGGAAAATGATTATTAATGGTATGGAATGAGGTGTCTTGGGCCTATTTTGTGATAATGTCACTGGGGGGCATTCAAGGTCGTCTTCAAGTATATGTGCTTTGGAAATTCTGTTGATATTCATCATACAACCAAAATATAAGGGGCAAATGTTTAGACAGTAACAAATGAAGTTTTAAACCAAAAAGCTCCTCCTCATGAACAACAGCTACAGTTTTAAATTGGATTTTAATGAAGTTAGTGAATATTTTAGCTTCTCTCATTTATTGAGTAAAAATGGGTTAATTTTCTTAACATTAAAAATTGTGTTTAAAAAAACAATAACTTCCAGCACCAGTGAGTTAGTCAGTTTCATTCAAGTATGGTTCAGTATATCTTATTTGATTCTCAATCCTACTGCAGTTATGAAAATGTTGAAGTTTATGTCTTGAAAACAACTCTGCATCTTCATATATTGGCTTCTACAGTTACTAAATTGAAACATGCCTGTTTAATTTCAAAAGCCTGCATGGTAACACTACACTAGGTTTAATAATGCCTATTTCAATGAATATCATTAAACAGTAGGTTTTGAAAAGAATATGAAAGCTAGTATGCAGAATTATTAAAAATGGTAGCTTAATTCCTATAGTGAATGGGTATGCTCTAATTAATTGACTCTTCTGTCTATTCTAACTGTTATTAAAAGTATTATAACCAAGCTAAAACTATATATTACATGTGTATTTTATATATTCTTATGATTCTACAAATTAGTGATCAAATGTAACTATTTTTAGATTAAACATTAAAGTAGTATACAATGTGTCTGTATTGATATATATTTTTTCTTTTATCTAGTTGAAAATCAAAACATTTTTCTTCTTATAACTAAAGTCTCCTTGTCTTATGGTATTTTCAGATACTACTGATTTCTGAAAAGAGTAAATTAGGTAGATCTGCTATATAATTAAAGGATCAGCAGGATAAATGATATTGTGTTAATGAATATAGCTAAAACTCAGTTTGGTCAGAGAATTAAAAGGACCAAACACTGTGTAACACAAAATGAAAACAATCTTTACTTATATCAAAGACACAAAAACACAGTATGTACTTGTTTCTGGACACTGAACGGTTGTCTTTCATTTCATTCATGAATTCATTAAATTGACCTATTTCTCTCAGGATATATTCATTCTAATAATTCACTCAACATCCAGTACATGAATTTTTAAATCTAATGTTTTTTATTTAACCAGAAATGTCATAGTTATACATAGTAACCAGCACTTGCTTATGTGATTTATCATAACCTCATGATGTTATCTGTCCTATCATTGGAGGATATTGGCTGTTGACATTCATGCAAAATGTGCAACATTACAGCCATTCTACATAAACAAAACAGAGGTAGCTAGAACGAAATCAACTTAATGACTCTTCTTGATCTTGTGTTATTTGACAACTGCGAAAGCTTAGAATAAATGAAAACTTGTTAAACATTATACATTAACAACAAATTTCTGAATCAACCAGACCTAATATGATATTGTTACCTCTGGGAGACATGCATCCGCTATTTTCCTTAACTCTTCCAAATTTTACAGAATATGCACTGTCATATGAGGAATCCAACAGTGTTTTTTATCAACTCCAAAAATGAAAAGAACTGGAGGTGATCAAATTTATCTGTTTTTTGTTGGATGGAGAAATTTTTTACTAAACTTTGCCTGAGGTCATTATGTTACTGTAATAATATCTTTAGAGATTCTGGCAAAACCAGTAATCATTTGGAACTGTTGGGACAACCAGCATGTCTTCTGGCAAAATTGCAAATATGTTAAAGGACAGATGGCAGAAGCATCAAATTTAAAGCATATTTGCAAATGTAAGATTGACATGCTACCTGTGTAGTATATGTGGATGCAATTCTTACTAAATACTAGTAGCGCAGTAAGCATGCCATAAAATATGCCAAAGAAGAATTTCCATTGGTGCTGATAAAAATGTTAAATGGCCAAAGAGAAACATGCCTACCTACAGACTGGGTGTGTTCACAGAATCATTGGAATATATGAACATGACAAGAGTGATGAGATGGTTAACTCTGAGGAGATACAAAAACACTGATTACTATCTATTAAAAATACCACAGAAAAATCCTCTTCAGATCAAGCCATAAAGACCCTCATATTTCATTCCAACTTTTCCAGACCTTGTGTGGATTGTGCTTTGTTACTAAAAATTACACAGTTGATCTATTTGACACAGAGAAACATTGTTAAGAAAGAAGGAAGAAAATGTGGTACACTTGCATACCACAGTCTTACTTGATATCAGAAATTATAATTAAAATTGATAAAATGTATTTAAAATGTCAAATTGCATATAAAAAATTGTGATATTTAAAGCAAGGTTGGAAAAAGAGAATAAAACTTAGCTTTAAGTTTTAAAAAACATGAAAGAAAATTATGTATGTAAATTAAAACAACCTTAACAAGAAGATATTTGGCATTATAGTATATTCTTGTGTTATCAGTTATTTTTATATTGCACAAGCTAAAGTACCTGTCATTTGTTTGGGTTATGAACTTAAAAGAATGTGGGGTGGATGCTATGATAAGTAACACAAAACTACTGATTTTCACACAATTTATTTATAACATAATATATTATTACATATTCATTATCATATCACCCAAAGTTTTATATATATATATATCAAGCACTAGGATATGATGCTCCAAAACTACTATAATTTAACTGACTTTCTAAGTAAGTTACAAACAGGCTTAAAAAAAATTCATTAGTTACTTGGAGCTAAACGACAGCAATCACACATAAACTGTCTGAATCAAACTGTTTACAACTCCATCAAAAAAGAAGTAACTTTCAGCATATTCTTGTAGTGGGAAAAAAAAAAAGCTGAGGTACCTGTCCTTTGTCCTTATTGTGAACTTCAAAAAATGTAGAGGTGGATACTATGATAAATAACACAAAAATCCTAACTTTCACACAATCTATTTATAACATATTATTACATTATTCATTATCACCTGACCCAAAGGTTTATACAAGCTTTAGGAACTCACTGTGTATATTCTTAGCACATGGTATACACTGTGTAATAGTCAGGGTGACTTTGTACAAAGAGGTAGCAGCCAAAGTAGTGGTGGTAGGGGTGCTTTCCATTACCCGCTTTCAACACCAAGCTCTTAATGTCCTTTCAAACTGTTTCACAGTATTAATTAATTGATGGTCATTGGCCACAGAAGTATCTTATGGAATAAAGTTGTAAGGTCACGGGTCAAAGTAGGAAGTGGCTATAACTCAAAGAGCTGATCTTCATATCGACTGTATGGTGCCTGTTGTAGTATAAACTTCACCTGGGTTTATGTAATGTTGCAATAATGGTGGCCATTTCTTTTCATTGCATTTCTTTATGATATACAAGACGTTAGTGTGCCCTCCCACCATACTGTGTATATGTTGTGTTATAGAAAATTTTATTAATTTAGTTGTTTGGTGTAAGGATGTGGCACCATTTATGAATGTAATTAACATTAATTTACATCAAAGGTAATAAATGCTCAATAATGGGGGGTGGAGGGAGTTGTGAACTCTCAATTAACATGCTATTTTTTTTCAAACTATCATTCCATAAAGTTTGGTTTAAATTGGTGTAGTGACCTACATACAGACAGAGATTTTTATGCTTTATGTATATAGATAGATATATATATAGTGGTATTTAATAGTTCTAAACTTATTTATCTGTTTTATCATTGTTGGTATTTGGTTTTAAATATGCAAGTGTATGTCAGTATGTATACATGGATGTGTATGTACCATATTAGAAGACAAGTTGTAGTTAACCTCATGTATGAAATGATTTGCTACCTTACAACTGGGATTGATTCTCATTTGATACATTTAGCTACATAATCTCTGTATAATGTAACCTTTAATTTGTTTGCATACTAAAGTATTTGATGTTGAAACACATTTTCATGTACTTTAACATATAGCAGAATTTTATCTTGCTTAATACAAAAAATCAGAATTGATATAAAGGTATTTCAATACTAAACTCGAGTACAGTAGGAATTGTGGTGTATGTTTGTATATTCCTTTACTTCTCACTGCAGATTTGTCATAATGGGAATCATTATTCTTGTATTTATCCCAATTCTTGGTTTGACAGGTTTCCACTTTGTCTTAGTATCTAGAGGAAGGACCACAAATGAACAGGTAAGTTAAAGCCATGTGTATCTTGATGTCCACATTGTGGCAGATGTGTTAATGATATGTTTAGTGTGTTTTCTCACCACTAAATATGTATAGTCCTTGGTTCGAAGGATGGACAGCTACTGCTACCATTTAAGTCCTCATTATTTGTAAAAGCACATTACTTTCCATATGATATTATGGCAGATAGCTAATATGCAAAATAGCTCTGTGTAAGTATGTACTGTAATAAATTATAATCAAACCAATGAGGTGAAGATATTAGAGCAACTAAAAAGTAGAATAATGAATTAATAATACGATGTCAACCACTAATACTAATCATATATTGTCCATACATTTGCTTTTTCTTTTGTGCATTAGATACAATGTTTAGAATACAAGTAATTGATAATCTAATAATAACAAGCATTGTATAACATTCAAAATCTTAACCTCTAAGTTGTAAAGAAAAAATTTTTTTTTTAAACTCAAAATTAAATCAAATTTGAAAATTAATTTTTAACATTTCACTCTTAAAAGTAGCAGAAACTAAAGAAATATGTTTGAACTTGGAATTTCAGTCTGTTGTTTAAAGCTATAGAAAAATTAAAATGTGTAATAGAAATATTGAAACTAAAAGCTTTGCATAAACGTTATTTGCTAGAAAACTTTTTAATAATTTTGATTCTATTACTTTTCTGTCATTGAATGTATTTCTAATTTCTCCTTCTCACAAGGAAAGGTTTTTCAAGTTGACTGATCAACAACAGTAATCATTGTACTGATAACTTACCTGATTTGTTTGATCTTTGTATGACATTATTGCTGAAGGACTGTAATAATAATAATAATATAAAAAATAACAACTAGTGAAGCCTGAAATTATGATTGTGTTACATATTCCATACATAGATGTGTAAATCATTGTGCTTCTCTTGGAAGTTTTTTTGGTTGAACTCTCATCCATTTCCTTTGAAAAGCCACTGGCACATCATTTTTAGGAGAAATTAAGTCATCAGCCAGTTGTTAATGAACGAGAAACCTTTAATAAATATTTCAGAAAATTGGATTAACCCTTTTGTACTGGGTATCCTTTACCATGCATGACAGAAAGTTATAATGTCTTCCATTCAAAATTTTATTAAACTACTTTTTGTTTATGTTACACCAATTAGTATAGCATAAAATCATAGCTAATAATCCATATTTTAATAGAACATAAGTTTTTAAGTTCCTAATTCTACAAGGAAATATTTTAAAAAATCCTGAATTT